TATTTTCGACTCAAAAAAAAAAAAAAAAGGAAAAAAAAAACAATAAAAAATAAAAGACTGAATAATAAATATCTTTGAAGACATACTTTCTTTGTTAAGAAAATTTATATGTAACTGTTTGTCGAGAGTTTATCACATATATGTGTATAAATCAAAAAGCTTAAGAAACTAAGGCAGTCTTACGAAAGAGCAACCAAGTAAAGAGATCTAAGATGTTTTCGTAGATACACAGATACTGATAACATTTCTTCTTAAAGCGCACAAAGATTGAAACACTAAAGCTTTTTCGTAGTCATTAAGATAATGTTTTTTCAAATTCTTTCTACCTCCTGCACGAAAACATGCTGCTGATGCTGCTGCTGATGCTGCTGCTGCTGCTGCTGCTGCTGTGCATATATATATACATACGTCAGCGATAGTCAAGGCGTTGTGTGGGACATATAAATACATATATATATATATATGTATGTATATATGATAACGGAAAAGGTTGGGCAATTCGAGTACACATATGTTCACATGATGTGCCGAAAAATGTCTACAACAAGAGTTGTTTTATGAACTAAATTATATATGTATATATGTTGGTTTTATTTTGTCTTTAAGATTTAAGGCCAAAACATGTGATTTCAATTTTTAGAGATATATGTATATGTGTATATGTACATAGGTATAAGTTGTGTCTAAAGAAAGTTTTCAGGCCGAGTTCAGTCAGTCACAACTTGCAAACGGGCAGTATATAAAAAACTGAATTGAATGAATAAATATAAGAAAAGTGTTTGTTTCTTTTAAATAAGCGACATAAGCTTTTCTAAATACACTCCAATCGTTTCTTGGCCAAAATTTTTCACTTAAGTCGAACGAATATATTATTAATAAAGAAAATCATCTTTAGGAAATTAGAAATGAATGAATGACGAACAAAAGCGCGTTTGATTCGCGTTATTGTTCATAATAATGCGTCTAAAGCTAAATGACTCTCTTCGCAGTTGAGAAATTTTCTCAATTATAAAGATATATGTATTAAGAGCATATGCTATTAAGATTAAAGAAAACATTTCCTCTCCATTTCTGACTTACACTCTATGTATTTAAATGTTCTCCTATTTAGGGGTTATTTTGTTTACATTATTTCTCTCGATAATGTTTAGGTAATGCTTAAAAGGCGAATAAAAATAAAAATATGAAAGCGCGTAAGCAAAGTTATTTTAGTAGTGTATTTTTAAACACAAGCAAGTGCCTCTCTGAGGTGAACAATCGTTAATATGTATTTATCACATTCGTCTATATATATATATATATATATATATTTCATTACTTTTTATTGTCCAGTTCAGAGCACATTTATATGTAGACTATTGTACGTAAGAGTAGTGAAAACATTTATTGAATAATTACAATGGTATTAGTAGTAGTGTTACATGCTATCTTATTAGATTTTCGTAAACCCGATGTACTTATATATAAATGATAAAATTATATTATGATTAAACAATTGTTATTTATTTTAAGCTATACTTTAATTATGTTTCTCTTTATTCATTTTTCACAACCAATGGATACGCATTTAGAATGCAAAGATTTGCAAAACAAAATAAATGCTTCCCCATTGATATCTCGCAACGTAAGTTCAGGTTCAAGGATATAACAAATTTGGTCGTTTTCCTTTAATTAATTTATTCGCTGCCATAAGTTGTTCGCAGTACGCATCTGGCTTCTTGAAAATAACATTAACTACCGAAAGCCTTTTGTAATTCTACAGATAAAGAATTTTTTCTTTTTTTTTTTTTTCAAACAGTTTATCATCTGATAGGGATTGTACTGTTGTGTCATCTACCGCAATCGTTTGCGAATAATGTTATCGTTGATAATACAAGTTTTGGAAATCAGTAATAATATAAACTTGTCGCGCGTCTGCTGTTTGCAGAAGCCAAACTTTTAAATATACCCAAAATGATTTTTAAGTTCTCTCAGAACTCTTGTTATATCTTTTTAAGGTTATTAACTGCCAAGACATTTAGCAATAACTTAATTCATACACATAATATATATGTAATATTCTTTGAAATAGATAGAAGGAAAACATTTCGAAATCAATTCTATATAGCTCTTTGTATTATTAGGCTAAGTATTTATTGGATCCCAGCTTGCTATACCTTTTTAGTTATTTTCACCAAGAGAATCTTCTAAAAACGTTTATTTATTTATGTACGCGTACTGAATACATATATTTATGTATACATATATATACATATATGTATATATGTATATATTTATATATATTTGTATATATATATATATATAATATATAGAAGATTTAAAAAAAAAACCAATATAATATATTGGCTGCCATATATTATAAACATTTTAGTGTACTTCTACATATATATTTATATATATATATATATATATAAAAGTCCCATTAAATATGCTGCAAATTTAAAAGACAATAAACAGTATTTTAATTAACATCTGTTATCAAGCAATGGATGGGATGGATAGGATGGTTTATGCGTACGCACATACGCACGTATATATAACGTATGCATGATTGCTTGCAAACAGGTTTAGTAAAAACGAAATGCCAATAAGAACAAGCACATATAGCATTATTGCTCATAAATATCTTAGTATTGCATACTCTTTTATAACTGATGTAAGTCTTACTCTTTTCTTCTTCTTCTTCTTCTCTTTATTTTTTTTATTTTTTTTTCCTTCTCTCTCTTTATATTGCTACAATTTGTTGTCTTTACCGTAAACGAATGCCTTTGTTTTTTATCGTTGTCGTGTATGTACAAACAAAAATTTGGACAAAGAGAAACAAGGCAAGAGCTTTTTAAAAACATCCATCAATCAGTTTTAATTTAATATTTAACAAAACTAAACCTTTTTAATTTGTTTTTATAACGAAAAAATTTTTCATTGCTTTATAAGAAATGTTTTTCGCGTATATTTTGGCATTCTTTTATTTAGCTCGTCTCTTTCTTGTAATGAAACGCTTCCTTTAGCCCAATAAAATTTTTTCTTATTTCTATAAATAATACATTAAACATATATAAGTATAGGTTAGTTCACAGCTGTCTACATATATATATACATACATATATATGTATATAGAAATGTACGCATTCTATTGTCTTTTTACTTATTACTTTCTCTGTTTGCAGCCAACAACCATATAATAAAAAAAAAAAAAAATTAAATAAATGAATGAATAAATAAAGAAAATACAAGGAAAAAACAAGAAATTAAAGCAATAACTTATTGTTGGCCTTGTTTACACATAGTTCGTAATAATTTTATGTAATTAGAAAAATAATTCATACTTTTATACTTAGTTTATACGGTATTGCTCGTTTATTATACGAGTTACAGTTTTTCAACAACGTCATCAAACTAAGTCTCTTCTGATACGAATTATTCGATAGAAGATAATTTAAATTTACAAAAATTGTAAGTTTGATCTTTTTTTATTTTTTTTATTTACTTATTTATGTTTTTTTTGGGACCGATCTATAATCCCAACAAATATTAGGTATTTTTTGGTCACTTCCTTCTCACATTCTTCCAAGTTTGAAAGAATTAATCGAAAGAAATATTCGAACTGAGCAATACAAAAGAAAAAAAAAAAAAAACACAAACGGTATACAACTTTTATAAGGCAATTTTACTCGCACCAGATAAGTACACTAGGTCAGCAATTCGATTTGTATCTGGAGACGCCATCCCAGTTTCCTACGAACTGCAAATTCATCTCAGCAAAAGTTCGCTTTGACTGAACAAATAAAATGATCGCTACGTTCACATTAAATATGCCCTACATATTTTTTTGGATGGCAATAATGTCTCTGTTCAAAATTGTATTAAATATTTTGGCCCACATATTGACCTAACACTAACATGAAAGTCTCATATAAATATTAGAGGCCAGTAAGTGTGCATCGAGAAGTAATATTTCAGTATACTATATTGCTTCTAAAAAATCCTTCTTATGAAAAGTTAACCATAATGATTGACATGAATGAGCGAGTAAAGGTCGATTGTTAAATGCCCTACTTTTCTTCTTTTTTTTTTTTTTTTTGTAACACAATTCTTTATTAATTTTTGTGATAAAATACCCGCCATTGTGCCTTGCTTCCATACAAACTTATCCTTTTGCATCGAGGCCGTTATGTATGCAGGCGGGAATCAAATATGTAAACTGACATGATCAAAATTTAGCAAAATCAATTTTCTTATCAAGAATTTTATTACTCTTCAACTTTTCGGGTCATAAAATATAAAAAATTCAATTACGTTGTCATATAAATGCTTGCTTTTCATATGAGGCCTTAGATGAAGAAAAGCTCAAAAAATACGTACGAGGTTCAAATTTAATACTTTGATTCTTGCGATAAATTAATAGTATGGATCAATTTTCAATATAAAATAATCAATAGTAGAACTTTTCGCCACATAATGACTTACTTTTTATAGGAACAATGGAAATGTGCTCAAAAAATTGGCCGATCCGATACATAACCTTAACAATTAATTTAGCAATTCGAATTGGTCAGTCGTGAAATCAATGACCTTTTTCCCCTTCTTCTTTCCTTTCCAACATTAAAATCATTTCTTAAGACTTCCGTTTACAAAGCATTCGTAAGTGACGCTTTCACGGTCCCACATATTTCTTTTTCTCCCATATTTATTTTTATTGGTAAATAATTATATACTTGGCCAAGTCCAAGAACAGATATATAGAGCGACATAGGAAAGAAAGAGTTCCGGGATAGTTTACAGCTGATGTAAACTGTTAAGGCCGATTAAATGAATTATCGCAATTTTCTACTAGCGCGAAATCAAGACAGAGTCTTTATCTATCAAATATCGCATATAGATAGTGCAATACCAGCGATTTAAGGACAATACCACATCTAAACTTTTGCCCAGATATGTGTAGAAAAAGTTTGATCATTCGATGAAAACAGTCTCGGTTGCTGATATGAAAATACCGCAAGTAAGAAAAAATCGTTGTCTTTATTTAATTCTATCATTTGGATATTCGAAATTCGCGACAGTAAAAACATATAATCCGCTTGAAGATTTGAAGAGTTGTCTAGGTGTCATATTTACGTGGCTTCAAGCCTAAATGCAGGCCATCTTGTAATTGATAAGATACATACGCAAATGGCTTGGGTGGGTCGCCAAAGGGCAATATTTCGTATTCCAACAGTATTCTAATCAGGGTGCATTTTATTTCCACCATACCAAATTTTGGTCCAATGCAACCACGTGGACCAGCAGAAAATGGTGCATAAGCATATTCAGGAATTTTGTTGATATTCTCGTCATTAAAACGTTCCGGATTAAATTGCTTAGGTTCTGGAAAATATTCCGGATTTTCATTGGACCTTATCGGGCAAATAAGTAGCGCAGTGCCACCAGGTATAATTTTACCATCTAACAAATCGATAACAGTAAAACAGTAAAAAAAATATCATCAGTAAGTATACTATACCAGCCACTATATCCTCGTCGAATACACGTCCATAGAAAGGTACGGTCGGATATACACGTAAAGTTTCTTTTATTACGCATTCCAAATATTTCAATTTGCTCAAATCCTCCATAGTAATCGAGCGTTCTCTATCAGTTCCGTAAAGAGAAAAAATCTCTAGGAAAGCCTTTTGCTGTGCATCCGGATGCCGCGAGAGAAGGTACAACACGTAGCACAAAGTATGAGCAGAGGTGTCGGAACCAGCCATGACTATGGTGAAAATTTCATCTTGTATAACATCATCGCTTACAGGCTTGCCATCAATCGAACTTGTAAGCAGAATCTCAAGAAAATTTTGACGCTTCCGATCCAACACTTTGTCGTCATTATCTGCAAATATTTTAAATAATAATAACATGAGACATACAGTTTTAATAATAATTATATATAAGGTCAGGTTTATGTTCAACGTGCAGTTGTCTGATTAGCGAGCCTCAGCTGTCGGTGAAAGAAAGAACGGATCTCGGACGAATAAAAATGCGAATGGGGGTGTAATTGATTCGGACTAATATCCTGCATGTTTTACGGTGAACACAATAGGACTACTTTGCTTACACTCCATTATCGTTATTTGCCTATGCTCACAGACTCTCAAAGGCGTGTGGAGGATCCAAAAAAGCAATCAAGTCAGAACATTATATTTACCTATTTCTACCAGGCTTTATATCAACAAATTTTATAGCGCGTCGAATATACTATTACTTGTCTATTATGGGTGTCGTTGTTGTTATTGTTGTAAGTGATCCGTAGTCCTTTCTAAAGAATATGTATATGAAGCCTTAGCCACATGGACGAACAGATTTAAAAGAGCACACAATCCTGCAATGATAAAGAACATATGCACTCTGCCGCGTCTCCGATACATATGTTGGGTCAATAAAAAAGAGCAAAAATAGTTCTAATATATAATAGATTCGTTTTTCGATAACAACAAGTGTAGAGAAAAACGGCGTATGATCGTAGCAGAATGGGAAACATTTTGCGCGTGAGTATCTGCCAAAAATAGTACATACACACACTCCATTTACACCTCTTACACATTACGATATCGAACTTTACTGCCATGACAAGAGGTTTTTGGAAACGATATCGAACTTTACTGTCATGATAAGGGGCTTTTTATAGATTATGGTTTTAGTTTGGCGTTAGAAGATTTTTAAAATATTAACAAAATACTTTCACTTTACCTCCAGCTTGCGTTGCATTTTTGTGTCGCTCCTCGAGCTCTTGTCTTTTTGTTTTAATTATTTTTGCATGGAAATCGCGTATGTAGGCGGTAGCTGCACTTGATTTCTTAAAATTACGATAGGCGAGTATATAATAAGCAAAACGCGGAAGCAACCAAGGTTTGGTCAGACGTTCCGATTCGTTAAATATGAAACTATAAAAGCAGTTGATGCTATGAATAATGAAGGATATCTGAATGGTTGAAAAGAATTTACTCTTGTGTAGCAGAGGTATATTTCCGAAAGTCTAAATCATTAGGATCCGATTTAAAGCCCATAGCGGTTTCAAAGATGATACACAAAGTCATGTCGGCAATAAATGGAAATATGTCAAATGTGGATTTCCCATCCGCATGTTGCTGTAGTCGCTGGACCAGCGCGCGACTATGTTCATCGAATACCTTTGTAAAGCTTTCAATCAGTTTGATATGAAAAGCTGGATTAAGCATTTTACGTCTCACACGCCATTCCTCACCGCAAGCAACTATAAGTCCGGTGCCAATTACCTCCTTAAGGACGGAAGTGCAAACGTACGGTTTGCTTACTGCGTCTCTCATGATCACTTTGTAGTAATTTGCATCCGCAACCATTAAAATACTAAACGGTCCTATCCATGCATGGTATACATTACCAAAACGTTCGAATAAATTCTTGAAACGGATCGGAAACTCTGAAATCATTTGTACGCAGCGAGCATATGTGTATCTAAGTAATTTAGTCTAAGCGATTAAGTGAAACTTACCGGTACGGCTTAGACCTGCAAACAGAAGAAGATCACCTAATAGCGGTAGTGTCAATGGAGGTCTAGCGATCCCTTGGCTTGAAAACTTACGGGCTACACTTCTCATGTGAAGATAATGCCATACCAATAATGTGATTAAACCAATAATTACTAAAATCGCGATCATAATAATTTAAAATAGAGGTGTGATCGCCTACTTAGCTGTATTATGATATATATATATATATGTATCTGTGGAGAGTCAAGAAATGAATGAAAAAGATTTACAATCACACTAATAATGCTGATCTATAATAATCTTATAAGTGCTAAGTTTAGTCATAGCTCAACTAGTAAGCACTTTATGCATTCACATCACGATGAGTGTTCTTTTTCATTTTTTGCCATTTGTACAGCCTAGCATTAAGCCAGAGACGATAGTTGAACTGCGATTTTGTGTTTTCATAATTTCGAAATTGAACGAACATTGGAGTCAACTAATCAGTCAGGTTTAGTCTGAAGATATCATAACAGCTCTTATTGTTAATAATTCGTTAAAATCATTTTTTGTCATAATTTCTTTTTACATTTATGCAAAAAAGTCGCGAGCGTTTTGTGGGGCGAAACGAAGAAAAGTTTGATTTCGTCTGTCCCCTTTCATCCAACATCTTTTCATCAAGTTTAAAAAAAACAATTATTTCGATAATTTGCTCGCATGAGAGAAATTCAACAAAGACTATGCAGAACGGTATAGACGGACGAAACTAAACATTAATTGCCACGTTTAGTCATTGATTTTTGCCATAAAATATTCAAAAATTAAATCTCGCTACCGTACAGAGACCTACTAGTCTTCTAAGGCGTTGTTTAATGGGCGAGGTTGGCAAAATAGATTAACGTGGTCCAAATTTGATACGGTAAGTGCATATATTAAATTGGTATTTTGGATCAACTTTTAGCGTAACAGATTAAAAACTGGATTTTGTTGCTTATTTCGTATGAAAAGGGGTTCAATAAATAATCCTTTCTCATCCATACGTTTCTACATTTTTTGAAATCTACATTTTTGAAATGAATGAAAACCTTTTTATTGAATAAGTTTTCAAAATATGTATATATGGGTCGAAAGAGATCGCAGAAACGATACGATGGAGCATATTGTCGATGGGGTTAATCTCTGGTTCGGCAGGCATGGCGGTATATCAAATTGAAGCTTATACATTGAACACAAAAATGCAAGGACAAGCGTCGCGCGAACAAGTTCCGAAACCGCTTATGATGAGTGACGTTAGAAAAAATTTAATACATCTCGAGTTCTTCCTTGGTGTTGCATACATCTGAGCGAATTTGAAATACCTAATATACCAAGTTGCAAGGAATTTTCGTTATATTTCAGTAATCGTACATACACAACAATACAGAAGTCCGTTAATTCCGAATTAATGTCGGCTTCTTCTGGTGTTCTGCAAGACAGACCACTTCAATCTCTTATATTCTCTCTCCATTCTATCATTTTTCGATTGCACAATTTTAATGTTTGCAGACAATGTCAAGCCATTCTATTCTATTCATAGCGTAATCGATGTAAAAAAAAAAAAAAAAAAGAAGAAAGAGAAAGAGAAAGACGCGTTTTAAAGATATCTTCTTCGTTTATCTTGTCTCAGGCTTGCTTCCATTCCATCATCCATTCCTATTAATTCATTAAAAGTTCAGTAGACTTTTGACATTTGGAAAACGGAAAGAACAGCCAATGCAAAGAGCGATCTCGTTATGGGCTATTTTTCCAAAAAAAATTATTACCGAAAATAAGATGTTATTAGTAAGCGGTTTGTTTTTTTTTTTTTTTATATATAGTCTAGTGGGTAAATTTAAATAGACGATTATACGTATGAAATATGAGTGACATATATATGTTTGTATATAAAGATACATAATACTCATATTTATAGTGATAAATTTACTATATATGATATAATATTTGTCAATATAAAAAGTCAAAGTTCGAATCCAACATTGACAGGCGCAAGTTAGTCAAGGTACGTACGTATATATGTGAAAAAAATAAAAATAAAAATAAATTAAAAATACAAATTTCTCAATATTAAAAAAAAAAAAATCGCGAACTCACAATTTCGTACTCAGCCTATGTAAATTTCGTGCAAAACTAAAGTAATTGATAAGCGAAAAACATCTTTATATACACGTAGATGCGTTAATAGGTAAGCATATCTCTGTATTGAGAATCTTTAATAATCCGTTCGTTTAGCTTTGCACTTGATGATAAGATTCATTTGTTACCGTGTTGCCCGCCTGCTTGCCCGGCTGTCTCGTTTTCACATTTTTGATCTTGTTCTATGACCTTTGTACGCATATGTTCAGTTTTCAAAGTATTATGTCCTTCCTTTTCTCGCCTTTGTTTTTGCTTTCAGTAAGATGTGATCATTTATTGACTATATATATATATGAGTTTAGATGAACGCCCAAGGCAATCTCACCCTCTTATGCTGCAATATTGCGATTAAATATTTATGCAAGAAGCATAGACACACACGTAAACATTATTGTATTTGTTATTTGACACGTGGACACACAATTTGCTTGATAATCTGTCGGATTTTGCGCCATAGCCATTATCTCTAATCCTACTCTGTTGATATTTTGTTTTGTGTTTTTTTTGTTTTTTTGTTTTTTTATTTTTCGAAAATCCTTTCGATGATTTCAAGTGCGTTAATTCAATTTACAATTTTGAATATCTATTACACTAATTAGATTATTTGATTGATTAATTAAATATTGATTGATTAATTGATTAAGTGTGTACATGTATTATACGCAATATATTAAATGATGTAAATTCTCATTAAATAAACTTTATATCTTATTGCTCTTCGGATGTAAACATATATCATTATATATATTCGATAACTCAGTCTTTGGCTAAACTCTGTTAAGTATACCTTATGTGATGTTATATTCTTAGCATCGATATAATAACAGCACCTTCTATGCTATATTGTAATTATGATATCGAACGCCTTCCAATTATACAACAAGTTGTCTTTATTCATTTTTTTTTTTTTTTTTTTTTGAATTAATTCGCCACATTTCAATTATACTTATCTATACTCTATTCAACTTAGCGATAGGAATTTTATATGGTTTTAGACCATCGAAAAATATAATATTTTATTTGTATAATAGAAAAGTTTCGCGAGAAAAACAAAAAAAAAATAAATAAAAATAAATAAATAAATAAATTAATACGAAAGAGTTGCCAAGAGTTCTAGTAAATTTGATGCGAATATATGCAACGCTGAGAATGTTTTAATTTACGTTTCCTTCAATCAATCGATTCCGAATAATTTGCTTGAAGAAAGAAAGATAGATGGAAAGGTTTACAGGTTTGTCTGCCGTAGTTTCTAGGTAATGAGCAAGTAATCAATTTTTTCTTTTTTTTTTTTCTGGAAAGTAACGGCGATCTCAGCTTACGTGGTACGTGGTAGGCGTATCTTTCCATCCTTTTGACCCATTCTTAAGACCAACTGACGTGTGTAGCAACTTTTAATGTTTCTTCTTAATTTAAATTCGTCAGCTGTATTTTCGCAACAGGGCGTGTGTTGAAACCAGATATTACCCAGATGGACAGACGGTCAGTTGATTGCTTCAATCATTTTAGAATTTACGGATTCTTGCAAGTTTCATTCTCACTGTTGCAAACGTTTGACAAAATGAATATTAGCTTGTACCGATGATAGGTATAAAAATCGATCTAAGCATGAATGCATTTTCCTTAGAGGCGAAAGTAAATTAATTACTTTGATGGGCATCTAATATTCTGTTCATCTTTCGATCGATTTTTGCTTTTCTTCTTAGTCGCTGCTTACTGTGCCGATCAAAATTGTGATTGCTTTTATAATATAACGAATCATAAAAATTTCAGATATATATATATATTTTAGGAGATATCAAAATATATTCGAGATTGAAGCAATTAATTGCTTAATTGCTGTTTTAAATTAAACTGCAATATTAAGCGATTAGTAGAAGTTTCTTTACCGTAGGAAAAGAATAATAAAATCGTATGTAATTTATGCGTACGTTGAGTAGACGCTAATCTTCATTTAATTATTGTTATGGTTCAGTTGATTTTTAGAACACGACCGCCCGACCAACTATACGAAATCGTAAACAAGTTCAAATTGTTTGTATATTCGTATATCGTTGCACGTAAATGTTAATTATAATAATATTAAGCGCAACGTTAAGACCCGTTTAGAAGAAGGAGATAAAACAAATCGCATACAATGAGCATTCTTAGCATTAATAGATTTTTCATGCATACATATATGCATACCGATGTCGTATACACATATAAACAAAAACAGACGTCAACATAACATAGCATTGCTGTAGTAAACGCCTTAAAATTATTTAAGCATTTATCCATATAACTGAAGCAGTTAAGCATTTAAGATGTTAAGCAGTTAAGCGGTTAAGCAGTTAATTTAAAAATTTGCGCTCATTAATAAACACATATTATCATAGTAAGAAATAGGTAGGTGAGGAGCGAAGGAAGAGACAAAAGGGAGATTGAGAAATTTTAGAGTTAACAGCAAACAGCGAAAATATTCATTTGCTTTTCTCTCTGCCTCTCTTACTCAGTTATTTAATTTGCGACAGTGAAAGGAGGAAAACTATAGAAAACAAGACAACGGAGTAAGAAATTAATTATATTGCTAAACTTTCCAATTGCCATTGAAGCAGACAACGAACATATCCCGATTTGATGATAGCGTTTGTAAGATCAATATAAAAATATAATTCCTATACGGATAGCTATATCACTTGTCGTATACGGTATATTAAGTTTGTGCGGACGTACGTAACATCCAGATGGGGTATAAGATAGATCCGCTTTCGATTATATCGATCATTTCAAAGTCATCTTTTGAATCAGTATCATTTTCTGCTAAGCTTGTCAATTCGTCTGTCCGTTTGTCTGTCTGAATCTGCTCAAACTTTTTTTTTCTGTTTAACGTAGAGGTCGCAATAATCAACATATTTTGATGAAATTTCGTACACTGACTCAAAGTCCGACTCCTATCTGAAATCGTTCCGATCGATCCCTACTCCTGCTCCTCTAATGTCGTTTTTTGAAAAGTCGTTTTATGGGGAAAATGCAATTTTCAATATTTCTGGAGAAAAGTCGCTCGATAATAATATTTTGGCATTTTAAATTTTACGCTGGTTGTGGCAATTTTTTGAACCCCCTCTCATATAACCGCTGTTACCAAAATTGAATCTTTATGTGATAAAAACATGAATCCCTTGTTAATGTTTTGTGAGAACAATTTATTCATGGTAATAATATGACATAAAAATGATGTGGACCTAATTTGAACTACGTGGGTCTATATGTTGGACCGCATTCAATATAAGATATCTCGTAAATAGTCATCCCTTTAGACGACAGTTAAACTTTAAATACTTTATGATCACCATCGGTTCATAGTTTTATAGTTAAGCGAGAATAGAGGACTAAGAAACTCTGCTAAATAGCTTTATGACATGAAAGCGATTTTAATACGAAGGATCTTGTCTTGTCTTGAGCTTGATGTCAAGTATCTTGTCTTTAGTTATGAATTTAATCGATGTGGCTTATTCGCTAGAAAGGGTCAATAATAAATAATAAAAACAAATCGGGTTCTATTACTTGACCTCGTTTTCAATTGGTTGGTGTTCACTATCATCAGCGAACTGAAGAGCAGTTGTTTTTTTTTTTGTTTTTACATTGAAATCCAGTTGCTCGTGTAAACTACGATTGTTACGTTGCAAACATATATATAAACTAATGTCATAATAGAAAGAAAACAATGCCGGGCTGAGAGCATAGACCAAAAGTCGTCTCATTAATTATCGTTAAATATTAACTTCTCGTACGAATAGGAAAATTCGCGCAAGTCGAACGAAGCGCCCGGTTGTTAGCGGTCAATTTCGCGTATTAAAAAATAATTTTATTGTCTACAGAAGATGTAAAAGAAATATGCATCAATAATGCATTATGCTTGAAAGACATTAACAATTTCGCTTGTGCTTCTTATGCACAAAATTATGCACGTTATAGCATTAGGCATAAGTAACATATGGAGATTTTTTTTTTATTAATTTTTTTTGCTTTACTGTAGCTTACACCATTCAAAATTACTTAGACTCATTTCCTGAACTGATTTACATTTCTTTTTCTCTCTCTCTCTCTCTCTCTCACTGTCACTTACTCTCTCTCTCTCTCTCTCTCTCTCTCTCTCTCTCTTTGTGGCTGTCTATTTGACGTCTGTCCGTTAAATTTTATGTTCAACCCATCTGATACACTGGCACATGATTTAATTCAAGGACGAACGAGAACGTTTTTGAAAATAGATTTTATTGGGCCACTTTTACGATAACTTCTCACATACTTATATATTTTGGAAAGTTCATTATATGAAAAAAACTTTGCTTGTTTCTAAAATCCGTGGCAATGATTTGTTTAAGTGAAAAATTAAAATCGGATGGGCGAACATTTTGAATCCCCCTCTGCCCCGTCCCCCCCTCTCATATAACCCAAGCAAACTTAGCCCCCTTTAGAGTTGCTTCCTTTTAGAGTTGTGTTTTTTAAAAAAAAAAGTTGCAAAAGAAAAATATAAACAGCTGTTAGAAAATGAATTATTATTAAAAAAATATTGTAAATTGAAAAAAAAAAATAAAGTGTGGCCGAAATTACATTTGGGAATTGTAAAGAAAAAGCTTTAAAAAAATGACTCCCTTGGAAGTGCAATTTTTTTTTTGTTTTTTTTCAATATCAAGCTAAATCAATTAATTTATTATTTTAAAGTCTAACACACAAATTCTACATAATTTTCTGCTCGTTTCATTTTGCACGCTTGCTATTGTTTACCATATGTATGCATTTGTTTATACGAAACAAATAAGCGTCAATCTGGCTCTCATCGTTTACCTTTCTCTCAGTTATTAATGCACTATTATCGAAAATTTGAGGCGAAGTATTGGAAAGCTGGCGACGATGGCATCAGATTAGCCTCTGGGCGATAATCAATTATCTCCTAAAAAAAAAAAAAAAAACCAGGCGATAATCACAGTGATAATCGCCTGTTTATATGATTACCCCCATGGTATGATTGATATGATTACATTTTAAAGTCGTGTCACGAATGTGCCATCACTGTTCAGTTATTCATATTGGCATCGCTAATTAGGGCTAATGAAATGGTGGTGGTGAGTTCTCGACTCATTTATATTCATGATAATAAAAAGTAAAAATTTAAAACAAAATAAACAACAATACGGAATAAAAAGTTTGTACGGTCACAGCAACACTATCGTCACTCGCGATTAAGGAATTATCGTTTCGGACTGGCAGACAAAAAAATTTTGCCCTCCCTCCCGCACTGTTCCATTACTTTCTTCTGCAAATAATTGATACGATATATCGATGTCAAAATTTGCGTAGAATATTCCCGTTTGCATTACAGGGTGTATTAAGTTTGGGCGAACGTATGTAACGCCCAGAAGTGTTTAGGATAGAGCCGCCATTTATTATACCTGATGTCTGTTCATGTATTTTTGCGTTTAATCTATGGGTCGAAATTCTCAAGGTAATGTGATTAAATTTGTTACAGTGATAAGCTTCGATCCGAGGACAAAAGCTAGTGAAAACTGTTCGGATCGGTCCACTTTCTCGACCAGTTTTCATATAATGCCTTGTTTAGAAAAGCCGTCCTATGGAAAGAAATTAAAATATTCTGCCGAGTAATAGCATTTCGATATTCTAGATTGGTATGACAGATTTCATTCGGCTGGGACAATTTGTTGAACCCCACCTCATATAACCGGATCTTTCTAAGGTAAAAAGATATAATTTTTCATATTTCATAGTAAAAATTAGTTCATAAT